AGAAAGGGAAAGATCTCCATGAAATGCCAGTAGGCAGGGACTATGACCCTTCTCAGCAAGAAGCAGATACGGAAGAAGAGACCTCCTGTCCCTCAACATCCATACAGATAATAAGGGAGTTCATGACTCTTAGAAGAGTTAGGCAGGAAAATTAGTTAAGGGGTTTCTGGGTCTGCCTGCAAAGACACTGAGGTCATCCTATCTCAGAAGGGTTCTGCTGTAATCCATCATGCACCCCAAGGCCGGTTAAAACTGCTCTCTCTTCCCCCATTCTGCCCTATGCTCTTCAGTTAACATATTTTCCACAGCTGCATCCCCCACCTCAAGGATTCTCCAGCCCCTTCCCTATCTCTGTAGCTGTGTATGAAAGTCAAAACTGCGGGGAACTGTTTGTTATGTTACAGTTAGAGCTCAGCCTTTGGATAAGGAACCCGCTGCTGCGCGACATCGATGAGTGCTGCTCCCTCTCTGTAAGCTAGGAGTCCTGTCTCCGGGTTCAAAAATCCAATAATAGTGCTGATAACACCAAGGTCTCAGACTCTACAAGACAAACGACCTGTAAGACCAGGGGTCTAGAAATTCCTCCCCTGCAGCCCTCCCACTGGAAGCTCCTCCTCCCCACTCTGAGTAAGGAGGGACATGTAAAACCTCAGACAAAGGAATCACGTGCCCCTTGCATAGACAATGCAAAAGTATATAAGCCATAATAAATCCAAATAAGCAAGCTCGTGCATGGAGTTGTTAACCCCACACGCTCCACCAGCCTAATAAATCCTCCTTCCTCTAAACAAAGTTGTCCGAGGGTCTGAATTCCTCCATCGGGTGTCACTTCCTGCAACAATCCAAGTTAAACTTGCCAAATCAATCATTCATCCAAGTGGAGACATGTGTCCAGTGAAAGTGGAATCAATAAAGCCCAATTTGCATTTCCGAAGTCAATTATTAAATTTCCTAGTTCCCATCATTGCTCATTTATTTCTACAGCTAACACTCCTTGAAGGGAATCTGTCAGTCAGTGCTTAAAAACTCACTAGCCTCTGCCATGCAGGTAATCCTGGCATGTGAGCACAGACCCACACTTGACCTTCATAGCTGAACCATCTAGTTCTGTTGGGGGAGGGTACATGGTCTCTTGTCTGCGTGTCTGTTCCTCATGGTCAGTTTTTTCTCAGCCTGCCTGGGTATTGATGATGGCTTCACTGGCCAAATTTCACCTCCTACTTGGAAAGTGATATGAGGCAGACACACTCACATAAGACACCTCCTTCCCTGTGTGGTATTCTAAATCTGGCAGGTGGAAACCTCTAACACATTCAAAAGATAAACTGATAACTGAAGTCTTTTGCATCCTTTTTACAGAGTGAAAACTTTTGGAGCCCACATTCTGGTTCTATGCCATCCTGTTGTACTTCCCAGCATCCTCTCTGTCTCTCTGCTTAAGATGTTGTCTTCACTGGGGACCAGGCCTTAGACTGGGACCTTAGACTGGGCCCCCTGGGTAGAATTCACCCTGCCCTTTGCTGTTTATCCTGTAGCCTCTGCCTGCTCAGCCCCCAGCTACGCTCACCTCTCCTCTGTTGTTCCTCCTACCCCAACTTTCATAATTCTCCCCCCACACAGTCCTCAGTACTGCCTGGAGAACCAGTATGCATCCTCCCTCCTACGCCAGTTGGTAATCACTGGATTACATCTCTCTCCCGTTTGTGTTCACAGTGTAGCATAAGAGAGGCAGGGTCTTAGCACTTCCCAGCCCTACTCCGTTCCTGGGCCCTACCCCGGAAGTTTCTGATGCTATATGGCTGGGGTGGGGCCTGAGAAATTCTATTTTTAACAATTTTGCAAAGGATGTCATGCTACTGGCCCCGAGATCCCACTTGGAGAACCACTGGCCTCCAGAAAAGGGCTGATACTCTGCCAGTTTGCACCATTTTCCACTTGTATCCATTCCAGCTGGTGAGTATCAATATTTTGAATATCTCACTTGCCTACAGGGGCCAGGTAAGTAATGAGCATAAGTGGGCTGGATAAAATGCGCGGGCATCTTAGTCTAGCTTGTCGTCTTCGCACTTTTGATAGGTGTAAAAAAGGTGTCTCTTTCCTCTTTGCTCCAGGAAGAGACATTGCTCAAGACAATGAAACCCAGGTTCCAGCAATGTGGGCAGGGGGAAGCAGGAATTAAATAGGACAAAGTCTGCCCAGCCCCAGGGGTAGGAAAAACATGATATATAATATGACGTATCATATGATATATGTCATATATGTGATGCAGTGATTTGATAAAACCACTACAAACCACAAACTGTGTTGATATGCAGCAGAGAGAGATGAGGAAGAACAGTCTCTAAATTTAACACTGCTTGTGTCAGGGCAGGGATTAGAACAAGGAAAGTGTGTGTGTGCGCGCTGTGTGTGTGTGTGTGCGCGCGTGTGCATGTGTGTATGTGTGTGTGTCTGTGTGTCTGCGTGTCTGTGTGTAGAAGGTTAGTATGTGTGTGTGTGTGTGTGTGTCTGCGTGTCTGTGTGTAGAAGGGTAGCAGAGAGTGAAGGTTAACATTTTTTTCTGTCATTTCAATAATGTTTCACATTTCAATGGGCCCGAATGACTTTTCTAACATAAAAACATCTACTAAAGTAGAAATTTTTAAAAAGATTTTAGATATTAGAGGCTGGCAAGTCTGGTTTTGAATCCTGTCTCTGCCACTTACTGGCTGTGTGACCTTGGGCAGATGATACAGCCTCTCTGGGCCTGTCCCTTCAGCTATAGAACTCGTTAAGAATAGCACCTACCACCTAGTTATTAGGAGGGTTAAAATAGGTATTTGCCTCATGATTAGCACAATGTTTGGAATTGTCTCAGTACTTCTTTGCTATTTACAATTACCAAATAATATACTTTTAGTGTGGACCAATTGCAATAGACCCAAAAATGTAGTGTGGCTCAAACCCAGTAGTTTTTTTCTTGCTCGTATACCAGTCCTGGGCAGGTATGTATGACAGGTTGTCAGGGCGGCCTCCTCCACTGTCATTCAGACACCTGGACTGATGAGATGCTATCATCTTCAACATGTGGCTTCCTGAGTTGCCCTTGGAGGGTAATGTGCTTGTGAGAGGTTTCCATGGGCCAGGCACTCACTTTCCACTGGGTAAGACTCAATCCCATGTTCTCACTCAGCTGCAAGGAAGGCTGGGAAATGGGTCTACTTATTTTCAAGGACAGAAGCTGGAAGAGAAGACACATAGACTTTGGCAAGAGCTAGCAGTCTCTGCCAGTGAGACGCATATCAATGAGTGATGTCAGTGATAAGTGTAAAAAAATATGTCCCTTTCCCCTTTGCTCTAGGAAAAGATACCACTCAAGGCAATGAAACCCAGGCTCCAGTGATGGCGGAGGTTGGGAGGTGGTCATTAATCTCATGAACTCCTATGGCTTTGAATATTTGTCAATATTTGCTAATTGTCAAGTTTACCTGTCCAGCCCTGTCTCCTAGGCTCCTTTCCCGGCATCCCTCTGCCCCCACAGATCTCACCCGGATGCTCCCCAGGTATGAACCCTCCACCACTCTTCATCCATTGTCTTACCTTTTCAGTGAATGACTTCATCATCCACAAAGGCAGGCATTTGGGGAATTATCCTGGATGCTCACTCCTCCCTTACATCCAATCAAAGCTGTTCACTATCCCTCTTGCCTCTACTTCAGCCCCACCCCAATCCATCCTCTATAGCTAAAATATAAATCTTATTATGGCCCTCTTCTGCTCAACAATTTTCAATGGTTCCCTAGGGCCGCCATGTTAAAGCTTAAACCCAGTGGCTTGGCACCTACAATATCCTCTCCAGATTCATTTTACACCCCAGGTTTAATTTTACAACAGCTGAAATAACTCCTGATTTCCCAGTCACATTGTGTGTTCTCAGACCTCTGAGCCTTTGCATATGATGTTCCTGCAGGGTGGAATGCCCCGCTCTTGCTTATTGACACCAGGCATATTACTCACACTTCGAGTCAGCCCCAAGGCCACCTCCTCCTTGAAGATGGCCCGGCAGACTGAGGGACTCCTTCCTCAGGCTATTCACTGGCTCATGGCTGCAAGGGCACAGCCTTTTTTATCTGTGTTCCAGCACTTAGCACCATCTTTTAAATGTCTGACATAAGTTCCCCAGTGTCTGATGAGAGGGAGGTTCTGGAGTCCAAGTCCTGGACTTGGACTTAGCCACTTTCCAGCTGTACCCTCTCCGTGCGTTTCCTCCACTGAAACACCCCCTACCTCATGGTGCTGTTGTGAGGGTTGGATGAAGGTGAGAAGATGTGTAGGGAGCACCTTCCTGGCATAGAATAGGGGGTCCCACAAATGTTGGTTCCTTGTCTCCATCTGTTCTGCTTACCTCAACCTTCAGAGTACCTCTCTCTATGTAACTGGCAAAGAGAGGCTCCAAGAAATAAGATTTGGATAAATGACCATTCCCTCTCCCCACCCCCACCTCCCCACACCTCCAAGGCTTCTGCAAGGCAAATGCACCCCCAACTGAGGAGACACTAACCAGGTCTGGGGCTGCTCACAGGCTATTACTGTTGGGAGCTGGATGATCTTCCTCTGTGCACCAGGGGCCTTTGATACTATCCCTTCTCCATTACACCATCTGTTTAGAAATATCTGCCTTCGAGGTCCAGGCATAACTTCTCTTTCTCTGGAAAGTGCTCCCAGAGGGGGTCCAAACACCCTGATCCCTCCATTCCTGTTCTCCCACGCCACCCATCTGAGTGGTCCCCGACATTCATCTGGACTGACCCAAGCAGACACAAGCCCTGGACACCTTGGTACAATTTTATTCAAACTCCAGACACCCAGGCTTGGCCTGGCACAGAGGGTGTGTTCTTGCCAGTGGCAAAAAGTGATACAGCACGTTTATTAATACTAACCATTTTAATTTAAATTAATAGCATTTCTGGAAGACAAATGCAGTTGATAGAAAATATAAAAACTTACTGTACAAATTTTACATCACATTCAAAAAAGCAAGTGCGTGCCTTGTGGCCACAGGAGATGCTGGGTTTGCATACACTGATGAAATCCTGGCTAACATTGCAGAATTGCATAAGCTCCCTATCCAGCTTCACATTTATGCCTCCACCAGCTCCCAAATCAATACAGAGCAGAGCTTACAGGGCGTGGCACTCCCCTCTGTGATCACTGGAAAGAATGCCATGAGAAGGCAGAGGGATTCCAAGGCCCTGCACACATCTTTGATTTGGTGACATGGAGAGGTTAACTCTGCTGCACGCCGCTCATGACTAACCGGGAACTCACTGGGATTCGAGACCTCAAGTTTGATGGAGACCCAATGGCTGTGACTCTGGTGGCTAAAGGCCCTAGAGTTTTGGAGGTGAGGCGGGGAACTGGGGTGGGGGAGTCCTGAAGAACCAAAGCTTGGGCTCCACTCTCAGACCCCAGTGGGGATCTCCGCAGCCTCCAGAGCTCTTGCCGAGGAGGCTCTCCCAGCTTCTCTATCCCCTTCACAGTTGGCCGTGAGGGCTGAATTCACAGTATCTGCTGTCCTTTATGTATGCCCAAGGTAGACGGGGAAAGCACACAGAAGGGCAAGCACATCTTCCTAACCTCATTCACAGTCACTTAAATAGAGGAAGAAGGGGACCACATGGGGGATTTTCTCAGGCATTTCTCTTACACGATAGGCAGAGCAGAGGCTCAGGCCGAGGGCAGAGAGGCTGCTCAGGGCCTTGGAGCGGAAGAGGATGTCCCTCAGCTCTATGCTTGGGGTTCCTGGCAGATGTCAGTTCCTGAGGGGCAGGGACGGTGGCCACTCCCATTGCCAGGCCCCCGGCACTTCCACAAAACGCAGTAAATGCTCAATGAAAGCTTCCTGAACTGACCCATGAGTGTGACACATGAGAAAAAACAAAACCCAGACTGACTTTCTGTGGGCTGAGAGTCAGCACTGGGGAGGAGTTGAGCCTGACTTGCTTAGCTGCCGTCCAATCCTTGGGCTCACCAGCATGACCATGGATTCAGAGGGGAAAGGCTGAGGCTTGAGAGGCACAAACTGTAGCCCCTGGGAAGGTGAAGACCTGTGGGGAGGAGCTGCCTTAGCCAGAAGAGGCAGTCACACACCTTGTGGCTTTGGGTGGAAGTTATCTCATTAGATGGTTGACAGGGGTGGCCAAAGGCACGATGGGGAGAAATGAACAGTCCCACAGAGGAGAAGAGACTACATGGAGCTGAATCCAACTGGTTTCCAGCTCCTGACTTCCTCCCCGTACCCTGACCAGGAAAGGGTAAGGTGCTTATGTCTGGATTGCCGATGGACAGGGGTGCTGACGGGCAGTGGGCAGCCCAGGTACCTTGTGATGTCTCACAGTGTGCTCCCCATGCAAGAGTCGGTCATCGGGTGCCTGGCCTGGAGAGGGGAAGGCAGCCCACAGCTTCTAAGCAGTGGCTCATTTCATACGGTGTTTTGGCCAGACTTTGGGGAGGGCTCTGAATATTGGGAGCTTTGCTAGGTGGGTCTATGAAAGGGGCGGAAGGACCGCATGCCTCCCCATCTCGGCTCAGAGCATGGACATAGGTTCTGGGTCTGAATCCAACCACATCACCACTCTCATCGCCTTTGGTCATTTCTGGTTTTGGAGCCTAATGACAATGTCCCCTGAAGGGCTTCTTTGCCATTTGGAACTTTTTTCTGGGCAACAGCTTCCAATGAAGACAGGCAGGATGCTCTCACATCATGGACCTTCCCAAATCTAGCCCCTCCTTCTGATTCAAATGGACACAAGTAAAAGTCCTGACTTGGCGCTTGAGAAGGCTCTGAGGATTGGGGGGGCTTGCTAGGTGGCTCTAAATGAAAGGAGGGGTACGTGCCTCCCATCTTAGCTCTGAACATGGACAGTGAAGAAGCCAGGACTGGGCTGAGGGGTTTCAATAGGACTGGGGTAGAGGAATGGTGGGCAGTTCTGGAACTTTAGGATGACTGATGATGGATTTCTAAGGGGCCGGTCAGGTCGCCTTGTGGTTGGGAGGGTGAGCTCAGGGACCCATTACTGCTACTCCCTCTACTGACCGTCCTTGTTCTTGTGGATCAAGCCTTCTTGGTATATACACAGCTGCTGGGCTGGGCCTTAGCTCTGGGGTCAAATGTCAGTCAGGATTGGGATGTGTCTAAAAAGCCAAGGCCCTGCACCCATCTCCTTGGTGCCTCCTTGGGGGCTTCATGAAAAAAAACATCTCTACAGTAAGTGGAAACCCTGGCTAGCAACCACTGGATTAGTCCATATGTTAATTTGGATTTTATAAGGGCTGGATTACAGGGGTCAGAGGTGAATTCAAGCTCTCTGGGAACTGCCGACCCTCATAACCCAGCTGGGTTCCTAGCCAGAGTTTCCTTTGCAAAAGGAGGAAGGGATAGTGGCCTTTTGATAGGACAAGGGGAGACTCGTACAGAGGGAGATTCTCGCTGATAGGGTTTAGGGCCAAAACACAGGCTAGGTCAAACCTTGCAGCCCCCTGTCCTACCATGAGAACAGTCACAATCTCCATGCTTTTCTTCCTTCTGGCCCAGCGTGGACTCACTGCCTACAAGGGCTCCAGAGGGGATGGCCACTTCCACCATCCCAGCCGATGGTGCCAGCTCTCCACTGCACAGCTCGTTTTTATTATTACTTATTGTAAAACCTTGAGTTCACTCCGCAGAACATACATGTAAACATTTGCTGCCTGTCAGGACAGTTTTGGTTGTTGGTAATGTCATTTTAAGAAATAGCAGGTATGGCTCCATCTCCAGGACCCACGTATTTTTTGTGGACGAGCAGTCTGAATTGAGGACTCACGCTTCTGGTTTGCAGGACTTATGAAGGTGGCTGACGTTTTGAAGAGTGTTGCTTTTTGTTGTGGTGGTTGTTTGGCTATTTTAGAAACGCATTTAAGAAAAAAAAGAAATTGGTGGAAAACTGCACAGCTGGCTACATCTTTGGATTACTGGACTCCAGGACGCCCAAGCCAAACCTTTCAAACCGGGGTACCACTTTGCTGCTGTTAATGCTGCAAAGAGGAACAAAAACAAAGGTTATAGACCCGTTGGTCTTGGTCAGAATTAGGGTGACATTAGCTTAGGAGTGGGCCAGTTTCAGAAGCTCAGCAGAGGACCCAGCCCACCAAGAAGTGAGAATGATTACATAGCCAAAGGCCTTGGCAGAGCTGCTCCTGGTCATACCTGGCCTGGGGGAGTTGGGGCAGGGGTGGCAGCAGCAGCCACTAAACCTTGGCCACACCCTCCTCCTGGAGGGCAGTGGGACTTGTTCATTTGGGAATCCCCAGCACTCAGCATGCCCCATAACTACCCTGGGCTCATCTGAACTGCTTTCTCATTTACAGCCCAGGAAAGCTCTTGCTCCAGGTAGAATTGGGAGAAGAGAAACCTGTGCCCCTGTACTGACAGTGACATCACAAGCTTTTAGAAATGGTCCTCAAATACTGGGGTGCATCAGGGTTATCTGGAAAGCAGGCTGAAATGTAGGTTCTTAGGGCCAGCCTCCAGAGATCTGAATTCAGGTCTTGGGGGACCAAGGAATCTGCATTTGGTAACCAATGCAGTGACTGTGTGTGCCCTGTCGGTCACACTCTTGATGAATGCTGACTCAGGGCCTGGTACTTCCTGTCTGCCCTGGGCAGATGTAAAGAGAGTAAGTTGTGGGGGGAGGGGCAGAAGCTTTGTTTTCATCAGTGAAATTATTTGGAGACAGGCCCCCACCTTTTGCTTCAGGATGACATTCCTGAGTGTGCCCCTGAGTGCGCCCCTGAGTGCATGGTCCTTCCAAATTGGTGTCTCACGGCAACAGGACTTTGGGTGTCTACCACACCCCTCCAGAGGGTATGGCCCTGGGCAGTTCTGAAATCATCTCACTTCTTATGGGACAAGATTATTCCTGAAGGTTAACGGCTTAGCAAAACCCCTCCTCCTGTACTTTGGTTGGCAGGGTGGGGGTGGGGAATAGATTTCACTGAGCTGTTAGTAGGGAGAGAGGCCCACCCAAACAAAAATGGTACCACCCCACAGAAGAAGAGCTAGAGAGAAAGAAGTCGCATCCACGTAGGTGGCTCCGGAGGGGATTTGTTAGGGGATCCTCCATGGAGATCAGTTACTCAGGCACGCACAGGCCGTGGAGAGGGAGGGGCCAGTTTTAAAAACAAAGCAAAAGAAGTCTCAGGAGAGAAGATTGGAGCAGCAGAGATGGTTTCCCCGGGGTTAGTGCCAGCATTTCAGTTTGCGTTTGAGCAGAAGTCCCGTTGCGGTGTGACGATTAGGAGGGAGAAAGCCCCGGGCACATGCGAACAGCCAGGCCTACAACCTACGGGAGGAAAGAGAAAAGGGGAGAGTAGTGTAAGAACCGAGCCCCACAGGGGTGGAGGGAGTGGCGTAGGCCTGGCCAGGTTAGGGGGCAGGGGACCCTCCTTCCCTGAAGAGAAAGAAAGGGGTGGCCCAGTTCTATTCCAGGCTCAGCAGCAGAGCGAGCCTGGAAGGAAGAGAGCCTGGCACAAAGAACCTTCCCTGGGCTCCCCAGGGCCGACAGGCCCACTGCCCTATAATCCTTGAATGTCAAAACTGACTTCCTGGAGTTCACAATTTCTGCTCACTGCAGTTCTTTCTTTAAGCTCTGGCCAGAAGGCACCGTAGGGACTTGGACGATGATTCCAGTTCTTTCCCACCTGACAAGCCATCGTCTGCCACAGAATGTGAGCAGAGGCCCTGCCACCTGCTGTGGGTCTTCTCTCAGCCCAGCAAGAAAAATACAGACCTACAGGGCCCTTGCTGGTGAGCATTTCAGCTGCAAAAACATCAACTGGTTTATGAGGAAAACACATGCAAAGATGGGGCAGCGGGATGCAGAGACAGAGCAGGAAGCAGGGTACGCAGAGGGGTGACTGCAAACGGGCAGAGACTAAGAGAAATAACAGAAGACACACTATTCCTCCAGAACTGGACAGGAGTTCTTAAAGTCAGAGTGACCGTAGCGTCCTTTCCCGTAGTAGCGGCTCCGCCAGCGACTGGGAGCGCCCCGCAACCATTTCGCCAGGTGTGGGAAGAGCACAGTGCAGCAGGTGATGGAGTCGGCACCCCGTGTGGTCGCGGAAAGGTGGAAGAGGAGCCGCAGGAACCAGGATGGCGGGGAGAGGGGGAGAAGACAGGATAGGCCAGCGTATCAGCCACCCCCCAGCAAAATAAAAAAGCAACAAGACCAATGAAAAAGAAAAGAGAAAATGAGAATTAGAGGCTGAGTGTGTAGAAGTAAAAATCGTGAACAGGAAGCTTTGACATAGACTCATTCAGGTATGCGGGCGTTCTTCCTTTTAAGAGGCTAAAATTGATCGTTTTGGGCCAGAAACAACCCGCATCTGTAACTCAGTTTCCCACCTGTATATGATCTTTAGGGAACCTGGAATGATTTCCTGAATGCCAGCACCTACCTAGCACAGCCTTCTCTTCTGTAGATGATAAAACCAGGGACCAGACTGTAAATGAGTTACCCAAGATCTGACAAACCAGATCCTTGAACTTGCAATTCTAGGGGAACCCCAGGCTCCTGGTCTCTGCTGGGACAGCTCCCATTCAAAAACTAGCTCTAATAACCCCTTTCTGGAGATCCCCCTTTAAGCTCCCTGGGTGGGCAGAGAGGACCCCGCCTGTGTTCCCAGAGGCTGTGCTTTTTCTCAGAACTCAGTATGTTGTAATTATTGCCTCACCCATCAAATGTTTATTGAGCAACTGCTATGTTCCCGGGACTGTGGTAGCTGGGAATACAGAGGTGATGAGAATGTTGCTGCATTGACTTATAGTGTGTGTCTGCTTGTCTTTATCCCCAATTAGGCTGTAAACCCCCTGCTGGCTGAAGCCTGGTCTTGGCCTTCTGTCTCCCCAGGTGTGTAGCAGGTACTCAGCAAGAGCTGGGTAAAACTCACACCTCTAATGGCAACATTCTGTTACCCCCTATTGGACTCTGACCCATCTTAAGAACGAAACATTGAATCTAATATTGCATTATAAAATAAAGTAATCCCTAACCACAAATTTGTCAATCTTCTAGACCGTCTCTGACACTGGCCTAATCAGCAACGTTTACCGTATTTTTTCATGTTCTCCTACTTGTGTCCTCTGGTAAGAAGACCCATTCTGGACATACCTTCACTTGAAGCTTGAAGCTGGTTTGGTTTGTTTTCAAGACAAGGTCTGGCAAACGATACGTAAGCCAAATCTGACCACAAAATAGTTTTGGCTATTTTAAAGAGTTGTTAAATAAATAACAAAACAAAAACAAAGAACATGTGACAGAGACCATTAAGACCCACGAAACTAAAATATTTACTATCTGGCCCTTTCTAGAATAAGAGGAGAGTTGCTGCCATCACACACCTGGGCAGCAGGTGTGAGACCCAGGTGCAGCTCTGGGAGCTCAGCGATGTGACTGCAGGTCCCCCCTGCCACACACACAGTGACTGGTGCCTCAGGGACGATGTTGGGTGTCAGGGTGGATAGGGTCTTGCACCATACATCAAGAGCAGTTCCACTTTACCTGTTTATATATTGAGACTGCATGAGATCTCACTTTTAGAAAGTGCCTTGTGCCTTAAAAACAGTTTAAAACCATTCATCTCATCCAGGGGTCCAGCCACATATGGCCCACCACCTGTTTCTATACCATGCACAAACTAAGAATGGTTTCTACCTTTTTAAATGGTTAGGGAGAAAACAATCGAAAAGTATTTTATGACATGTAAGAATTACATGAAATTCACATTTCAGCATCCATAAATAAAGTTTGATTGGAGCACAGCCAGCCTGTTCCTGCGCCAAACAGCAGAGCTGAGTTTCCGGGACAGAGGCCGTATATGGTGGTGTCACCACTCTGCACTGCTGCTGGGCGCATCGCAAATCCTGGGACAGGAGCTGTAACTTGACATTTCCTCTTAGCCCGCAAAGGCTGAAATACTTCCCAAGTGGCCCTTTACAAGTTTGCGTATCCCCATTCTAGCCCAACCCCCACTTCTTAAAGCTCTGGAAACTGAGGCCTGCAACAAGGAAGGACTTTCCCACATTCTCACAGTGGGTTTGTGACAGGGCAGAGGTCTGTAAGTGTCCTGGCAGAGTGGGTCACAGGGACAAAGGAAAAAGGGAATGAGATAGAACTGAGGAGATGACAGTGGTCTCCTGCCTGGTGGAGATCACCCTTGCACCAAGAGGTACAAAGGACTGTGATTAAACAGAAGCAGAGATGGGCGGCCAGCATCGAAGTTCCACATAAACCCTACCCATGTGGTCCCCATAACGGGTGGCTCATTTCAAGAATAGAAAGTTCTGTCTTGAGTCTCAACATTTTAAACAATAGCCACTCTGCTGGTTTTGTTGATGTTCCACACCCATGTTGCTCTGACCTCCAACTGGCCCCGCTGGCCCTGCCCTAGGCAGAAGCTCCTGGGCTGGGCCCAGCCTGGGTACAGTGTCAGCACCGCGCTGATAACAGGGATGTAGAGGTTTTCATAGAGCAGAACTAGAGGTGCTCTTCTGTCAAAAAGAGTCTGCAAACTAAACATGGTGAATGAGGTCCGGCTATCATTTAGGTGAGGGGATGAGTCGCCTCTGGCCAATCTGCTTGGGGTTTTCAGCAAAGTCTTGGGCACACAGGGCAAATGGTACCCTCTAAGACTCTGGGTGAGGCTGCCAAGGCCTGGCTGGCAGGTTTGGTTCACCAAGGGGGTACTTACTCAGCAGATTTCCAGAAATGCCCAGGGTGGGAGAGCCGCCGGTTCAGCTTGGGCAGTTTCTCCAGCATGTCCATCAGCAGGGTGATGCTGGGCCTCTCCTGCAGGTCAAAAGCCCAGCAGGCAGATAGGATCTCCTGTGAGCAGAGCTGGCATTAGTGGCTATGACAGCTGGCAGAGAGGGAGGAGGGTACAGCTGGGTCCCTCTGCACAGGATCCCTTCAATGCTCTCAAGTAACCCTCAGTTGG